TGTGTGGGTATTCTCTAATTGATGATGGATACAGGGTTTTGTATATTTTCATGAATATCATTCATATCTTGAATATCTTTACTAATGTTTTTCCTTCTTGATCTGTCAGTGGTAAGAAACAGATTTTAAAATATCTGTGATGATTGTGGATTTGTTCATTTCTCCTTGAAGATCTCTCCAATTTTTTTTTTTTTTTACATATTTTAAAGCTTTTCAAAAATTTTTAAGGATATTCAAACTTGGAATAGAGTTATTTCCTAGTGAAATAAATGTTCCTTTTATTATTTTGCAATGTAGGTAGTTTTAGTAATTATTTGGCTTTAAAGTTCATTTCTCCTCCTATTAATAAAGGTACTTCAGCTTTCTGTTGGTTAGTGCTGTCCGATACAACTTTTTTCATCTCTTTTCTTTCAGTCTTTCTTTGTCATTATGTTTTAGGTGTGCCTTTTGTAAATAACCTATAGCTGGATTTTATTTTTTGATCAGGAGCTTCTGTCTTTTAACTGGTGAGTTATGATACCTGTATATTATGCTTACTGATATATTTTTATTTATTTCTCTTATCTTGCTTTGTGTTCCTCTTTGCTTCTTTTTTCCTTTTTTCTGTCTTCTATGTAAATGATTAAGATCTTCTTATTTCATGTCCACCTAATGGTCTAGAAGTCATATATATTCTATTTCTATTCTTTCAGTGGTTAATTACCCTGATTTTATTTATTTATTTTTATACACAAGGCATTTGTATAATATTACCCTGATTTTAAACATGTGGTAGTCTGAAATTATGCGTTATCTCTCAGGTGATCATGACCACTACAAGAACATTAGAATGCTTCAACTTCAGTTTTTCATCTAATTTTCATATTATTTAGTATTTTAGTCCTACCTGTTAAATTTCCACAAATTAATCATTACTGTGCAGTTTTATAAATTCAATGCTTGTTTACATTTACTTACACATATATTTTCTCTGCTTATTCTTGCTTCTTGCATCTGAATTTTTTTCTTCCAAGTTCAGTTTCTTTCTGAAATACATACTTTAGATTTCTTTTTAGTAAGGATCAATGATTAATAAATTCTGTCTTTGTCTTAAAATGCTTTATTTTGCCCTGCGTATTAACTGATAATTTAGCTGCTGCATGTGAATAGATCTAGGAATGGACCTGTGAGAGACACACGCACACACACACACACAGAATGTGGCCACTTGTGAATATATTTTTATTTAATCTGCTTAGGACTTTTGGAACATTCTGGATAATTTTCTCAAATTTACTAAGTCTTTACTAAGTCTTTTTTTTTTTTTTTTTTAGACAGAGTCTCACTCTGTGGCCCAGGCTGGAGTGCAATGGTGCTATCTCTGCTCACTGCGACCTCCATCTCCCAGGTTTAAACAGTCTTCCTGTCTCAGCCTCCCAAGTAGCTAGGACTGCAGGCATGCACCACCATGCATTTTTGGTAGAGACAGGGTTTGAACGATGTTGGCCAGGCTGTTCTCCAACTCCTGATCTCAAGTGATCTGCTCACCTTGACCTCCCAGAATGCTGGGATTACAGATTTGAGCCACCATGCCCAGCAATTTTACTAAGTCTTGAGAAAATTATCCAGAATATTGCAAAAGTATCCTCTAATTTACTTTCTTTCTTTAACTGTGTCTAATATAGTTTAGTTTGCCTTTTTTATTGCCTCATTTCTGTATTTGCACAGCTCTATTTGATTCTTTTTCACATCTTTCTAATCTCTTTTATACTGCTCTTTTTTAAAAAAAACCATGTTTTTCTTCTCCTCCTGCTCCTCCTCCTCCTCCCTTCCTCCTTCCTCCTTCCTCCTTCCTCTTTCCTCCTTCCTCCTTTCTCCTTCCTCCTTCCTCCCCTTTCTCTTCTTCCTCCTCCTTCTCTTCTTTCTTCTTCTTTCTTCTTTCTTCTTTTTTTTGAGACAGGATCTCATTCTGTCACCCTGGCTGGAGTGCAGTGGTGATCATGGCTCACTGCACCCTCGACCTCCTGTGCTCAGATGATCTTCTTGCCTCAGTTTCCCAAGTAGCTGGGACTACAGGCATGAGCCACCATGCCTTAATTTTTATTTTTTATTTTTTTAGAGATAGGGTTTTTCCATCTTTCCCAGGCTGTCTTCTTTTATGTCTTTTATCTTTTACAAACAGCATACTGATGATTTACAGATTGTTTTTCTACTGTTTCAAGTAATCCTTCTGTTTGTTATGTCTGTGAAGTCTAGTTCACTCACTTGGTAATATCAGGACATCAGGGCTTCACAGGAATTCTGGGCAGTCTAAGTTGTGAGAACGTCTCTGGTTCTATCATTTGTCCCAGGGTGTCATCATGTTTTGCCAGATTTTTAGATTTCCCTACTTCTCCATGTGATTCGGAAGAGTTAATTCAGATCTGAAATCTAAGAAGCATAAGCCTAGGCATTTGAGATCACAGGAAGAACTTTGTTAAGCTAGGGCCTAGATGGAAACAAATGAGTGCCAGCAGGTAAATTTATTTTTCTATAGTTTGCTTTCACTGAGATTTAGCTTTGTTTGGTTTCAAGGTTGTACAGGAGTGGTAATTCTAGCTCATCTCATTTGAGCTGAGAGCCTCATCTTTTATCTTCACAGGGTATCAAAACTCAAGTTTCTGCATTGCTGAGACCTGTAACAACTCACATTTCCTCCCTTTGTGCAGCCACAGCATTAGGTCATATGCCTACCTCTCTGGTTTTCTGTACCTACTTCCTGGCTGGAACCCAGGAGTTCCCCTTTCTTTCTTGTGAGCATGGTCTTTGGCGATTACCAATGGAATATGTAATTAAAAGAAAAAAAAAACGTTTCTAGATTTTTATGTGGAGATTTGCCAACATTAACAGTCTTTCCAAATATGGGATGGGAAAAAAAAACCTGTTTTCATTGGTAATTTTGCACCGGAATTTATCTGTCACAAGCAGATATGATTAGGACAAAACATTGGCAAATGAAAGCTAGGAATGATTTCATCTAAGCCTTTATTGAGAAATACTTGAGTTCGGCCTTTGAGTTGCTGTTGGGATTCTTCCTTAGAAGGAAACCAGTTTTTTATCCAGTGTTATCTGACCCATTTCTCTAAGGAGCAACGAAGTGTCCTTGATTGGCTAGTCACTTAAGACACATGAGTATTTCATATTATCTGCTAGTATGTTGCACGCATCCCACTCCTGCTGTTTTTGTTCATAAGCAAGTAAATTTTCATTCACAATTTTTAAACTCTGTGACAACTAATGTTGCTTATAGAATAGTATGGTCATAAATATCAAATAGGTTGTCTCCTTGAGAAAATTGTTACTTGAGAAAATTACTGTATTTTGAACAAATAGTAAACCATAATTATAGTAGAATTATTACCTTGAAGTCTTTCCTACCCCTATCAGAGACTCTGGAATATGTTTTTTTGTTGTTGTTGTTTGTTTGTTTGTTTGTTTTTGAGATGGAGTCTTCCTCTGTCACCCAGGCTGGAGGGCAGTGGCATGATCTCTGCTCACTGTAAACTCCAACTCCTAGGTTCAAGTGATTCTCCTACCTCAGCCTCCTGAGTAGCTGGGATTACAGGCGTGCGCCACCATGCCTGGCTAATTTTTGTATTTTTAGTCGAGACAGGGTTTCACTGTGTTGGTCAGGCTGGTCTCGAACTCCTGACTTCTTGATTCGCCCACCTCAGCCTCCCAAAGTGCTGGGATTTCAGGTGTGAGCCACCACACCTGGCCTGGAATATGTTTTAGGGTGCATCCTTCCCCTGTCAAATCTCATCAGTTTGTCTTCTTGGTAGAATTATTTTAAGGTGTTTGGCATACACTCTAGATAACATGCATCTTCGTAGGCAGATAATTTCAAATTCAAAAGTTAAAATTGGTGATATTTTTACAAATAGAAGATAAATTCTTAGGAAGTTTAGGCAGAGACCTAAAAGTTAGAACCCAGAGGGAATAACACAGGAGGAAGCAAATGTAGATTTGGAACTGGATAAGATAGCAAGGTTTTAAAATAATTGAGAGAATTAAGGAATGTTTGTCTTTGTTTACTACTATTCTCAGTGATTGGAACTTCTCAACACTTAAGCTTTAATTTTTCTATCTTCTGGAATTTTTATAAAATAAATATTAATGTATACCCTATCAGTTCCTTCCCCAAAGCACCAGATAAGCTAAAATGAATTATAAGAGGGGCCAAAAATTACATGGAAAAGATAGAATAAATACCTTCTAAGCACTTAATTTGGGGTGGTTGTGAGCTTCCTCTAAGTTGAGGCAATAAAGAAATGAGCTATGTAACTGCATAATTGGTCATTTAAAAAATAATTTTTTAGGTTAACTTTCAGGCATGATATGTTAGCCCTTTTGAATTTTTTAAATTCTATAAAAAAGAAATATCTGCCTTTAAGAAATAATCTTTTTTTTTTTAAAGACAATTTTGTTCACCATCATTAACATATCATAAGCATTGTCAAACCTACACAAGATGGTAAGGTAGAGAAAAAAATTATCCTTTTTTTAATCTTTGGGTTTATTTCCCCTTCTTAGAGTTTGGTCTTTCCTCCCCCTTCAAGTTTCCCAGTGTTTTCTCAATCTTGACTGATAAAGCCATTTATACCAATGTGTTTGACAATTCATGTTGCCTTACTAGGACTGTTTGAATTCTTAAAAAAAAAAATGGTTAAATAAATCAACAACTGAAATATACATGCATGCAATAAGTGAACAAGAATAAATGAAGGGATTCATGGAAAGGATGGATGGATGGATGGATGGATGGATGGATTTCATGCATGAGAAGTCTTTCTGATATACCCAGGACTCATATTATGTAGGTGGTGGTCTGTTCTGATGAAGAGAAGGTCTGTCAGGTAGATTCTACCACTACTTTGCCACTAGAGTGTATCTCAACCACTAACATGTATTATCAACTTTCTTCTTTTGTCACTTGTCATACTAGCTTGAAATCAAATCCCTTTTTTGTTTGTTTGTTCAAGACTGAAAGAGCATATTCCTTTTGCGGAACTATTGAATACATGGCACCAGATATTGTCAGAGGGGGAGATTCAGGACATGACAAGGTATGTTCTATTTTTGATGCTTCTTTATATATTCCTATAAAATGTACTATAAGAATCCTAGTTAACAACTTAGGTCGTCTCTTCAACAGAGCCATCTTTCTGGTGTTGATTATCTTACCTTCCTTTTATTTCTCTTTTGCTGTGTATTTCTAAACACATTATGATATCTAGTATTTTGGAAGAAAATGATAATACAAAGGTTAGGACAGTCTAGATTTCCCTTTTTAAAGGTTTTATTGGTGAGAATTGTGTTTTATAAAGTAATACTATTGTTAAAGCTGAGGCCTCAAAACTAATTATTCAAATAATTTTTATTTTATTTCTGTTGAGAGAGCCTGTTTCTTAAACAGAGTACAAACTATGACTCCATTTAAAAAAAAATTATTTATTTATTTTTGCATGAGACCCTGATCTTTTGGGATACAGCTCAACCACAATGCAATACGAAAGTGTCACTCAATGTAAAACTGCATGTTGTTCCTGTTTGAGTCATGATGAATGGTTTTGGTCAGCACTTATTGGCATTTTTAATTTCTGCTAGGAAAACATTGAGAAACATATAGTCGTGTGTATCACCTTTGATTAATTATTTGCTTTTTAAGAGGTCACTGAGAGGTCAATGAAAAGGGTCTCACTCATATTTTCATATTCCCAGTTTCTGTCTCTAACTTTCCAGAGACACTGGAGAAATGAGCTACATAATTGCATAATTGATCATTTAAAAATAATTTTTCGAACAGATTATCTTTCCAACAGATACAACATTTTAACAACGCTTGGAAAAAGAAAAAATCCTGAGTTCTAGATAGTTTAAGTTTATTTTCCTAAGCTCAATTTTTTTTTGGCCTTCTCTCTTCCCTTTGTATGTGTAAAATGAAGAATTCTAGAAGAAGCTTTCTAAGTAATTATGTTATAAAATCTAGGTCATGGTTTTTTTCAGTATTAAAGGGTACAAAATTTGTTCAGTTTTTTTTTTTTAAACACTTTAGTTTTATTAATAGCTTTATCCAAATAAGGTATTCTATTTTTTGTTCCCCATCTTTCCTTCTCCTTCATTCCCTTTCAGAGTCCCACATATACAGTTCAGATATCTGACTGTGGAGAATCTTTGATCTTCTTCCTGATGACTAATCATATATTTAAAAGCATGTTCTTCAAGTTTGTATGGTGTTGGTTTTGGGATCCAGGGCTAAGAATCTGATTATTGATCTTTGTCAGTTGAAGAATGTGGTTTTGACTCCAACAGCAAAACATTCTGAGGGTTCTGACTCAAATGGCAGTGAAACTGTTTGTATAAATAATAGAAGAGTTTAACTGCTGGTTTGGTTTGCTTCTTGCTATTCTTTGAGCTTCTTGGTATTCAATGAAGCTGTTGGGGAGTTTGGCAGGAATTTATACCTGTTAATTTGAAAATTATCTTCAGAGACCTAATGGAACCAGTTTTACATAAGAAAATCTTGTATTACTCCTAGAATTTCTGTATACCTAAGGTGCAGAAAATAGCTAGTTAATAAATATTTCTTCCCACACCTGGAACAACGTGACAGTTATTAAATGAGATAGTGTATGCAAAGTGCTCATCATGGTGCCTGACATGGGGACAAAGTTCAGTAAATTCTTTCTTGATTGTAGTCTGCCTGATATGTTTTATATGTCAGCACTCTGTATTTTCTTAATAGTTCTAGGCTCATAAATTTTGTCACTTTTCTGAAACTTAGGCCCTGGTAATTGGAAGCAGATAGTTTGAAATTTTAACATCTAGTTAATATTTCTCATTGGTGTACACTCATCTGTTCAAGTTACTAAAATTCTGATTTGCCTAATTAAAAAAGTAATTTTCAATACATCAAGATTCTTTAAGCTGGGCATGGCAGCTCACGCCTGTAATCACAGCACTTTGGGAGGGTGAGGCGGGTAGATTGCTTGAGCCAAGAACTCGAGACCAGCCTGGGCAACATAGTGAGACTCCCATCTCAAAGAAAACAAATAAAAGATTTTTAAAATTATATATAATTTGTTATGTTCTCAGTTCAGGTAAATGCATTTGTAAATTGGTTTCCAAATTAGAACACATTTTATTTTATATTATTTTAGATCTTCCCATCAGTGAAGATCCTAAGGTTTATGTGTGATAGGTTCCATAAGAAAAATTGATTTAGGCAGTTAGGAAAAAAATAACATACCCTTGGATGTGGTATTTTTTTTTCTTTCTTTTTTTTTTTTGTTGTTGTTCTTTGAATTTTAGACATTTCATAAGGCTCACTGGAGCTGAATACTTAGTTTCCTATCATAAACCTAAAGATGTTACCTACCTAAATTTTTAAAAATTCATTTCAAGTTTAGATTTTTTAAAATCAAAGTGAAACAGTTACAAGTTTAAGAAATAATTAACCAAATAAAAAAACCAAAAAATTAAAAAAATTTTAAAAAAAGGTAAAAAAAAAAGAAATAACACGCTTTCTGTGTGGAGGATACTTGGATATTTGGTCTCTAAATGTCTTTCTTGCATGTGTTAATACTCCTTACATAGAAGGAGGTGTACAGAATCCTTTCGCTAAAACATTTTTCTAATAGATAGCTTTCTTTTGCTCATTTTTTCTTTCTTATAAAATATTTTAGTTGATAATTCTACAAAATTAAATTATTGTTGTTTTATAGGCAGTTGACTGGTGGAGTTTAGGTGTTCTGATGTATGAATTACTAACTGGAGCATCTCCTTTCACTGTTGATGGAGAAAAAAATTCCCAAGCTGAGATATCTAGGTAAGATTTAACAAAATAAAATAAATGCATTGTTTTCTCAAAGGAACTGATCACATTTCTGCAGTTAGGCTGATGTAAAAAAAATAGTTTTTTAAAATGAGGATAGACAAAGTGATGTTTATGTGGTAAATTTTATTTTCTGTTATATAGCACGTAGATATGTTACCTTTATATTTCTTTATATTGATTTTATGTGCCCAATTGGATCTGAAGTTTAACTTATGATCTATAGTGTCATGCACTTAGCATATTATCTTACGCTTAGTAGGTACATCATATATTGAGAAGTTTATTTAATGGATACTTTTTTCTCCACTATATATGTAATTTATTTCTTTGTGACTTTAACATGAAGAAACAGTTATGATATTTTTGAACTCATGGATGTAGGCTCAATAGAAACAAATACCATTAAAATTATCCTCTCATAGGTCTCAGAGTATTATTCTCTTATTTTCCTTCATAGCAGATATCACAGTTGCAGTATTACATTTTTGTTTATAATTATTTGATTAATGTCTATCTGTCACACTAGATTGTAAGCTCTGAGAGTAAGTGACATGCCTGGCTTTGATTCTCAGTACTTGCTATATAGAACTGCGTAAATATTTGAGGGATAAAATGGCTTAATGAACAAATAAGTGAATAGTGATCAACATTATACTAGTTACTAGTTAGGTTTTGTCCTGTTTTCACTTGAATTATATAACTTTGAGAACAGATTTGGCATTAAAAATTTAAAATAGAGATTACACTTCCAAAGAAGATGGAATAAGAGGGACCAGATCTACTTTCCTGCCTGAAACAATTTTAACAATGGGCAAAATATATGAAAGAACAGATATGAAGACATTGGATATCTGGAAGTGAAGGACAGTGATCTCTGAGAGGCAGAAAAATAAATGAGGTGATCCCTATGATTGCCCCAGCTTACTGCCTTGAGAGCATTTCCAGGTTGCAAAACCCAGATTCAGTTGAGGAGGTAGAACTGAGAGTCTGACAAGACCAAGACCTCTGGAGTTTGCAGACCAGTGTCGGAGAGGAGAGTGGCACACAGAGCGAAGTCCAGAGATGTGCAGAGGTTCAGTTGAGTATTGGTAAGCACAGAGTGAGGAAACTGTGCGATATAGTTAAGTTGTGATTTCTTGTGAAATTGAACTGTAGAGTCAACACAATCACATTTCCAACAGGCATTTTTTTTTCTTAGAAATTGACAACCTGGGTCTAAAATTCATTATGGAAATGCAGAGGACCTAGAATAGCCAAATCACCTTTGAAGAAATATGTCTTGAAAAATACTTCATTCTAAGTTACAGTAATTAAGACAGTGTGCTATTGGTGTCAAGATAGACAAATAATCAATGCAAATGATTTTTTACAAAGATAAAAAGTATCTTTTGTAAAGATAGTTTTGAACAAATGGTGCTAGAACCATTGGCTATCCAAATGGAAAAAAAAATGAACTTCAAGAATTACTTCATACCATATAGAAAAATTCATTCAAAATGGATTATAGGCTTAAATGTAAATACCTAAAACTATAAAACTTCTGGTAGGAAACATAAAGGAAAACTGTTGTGAGCTTGGTTTAGGTAGAGACTTCTTAGATTGAACAAAAAGTTCAATCCATAAAAGAAAACATTAATAAATTTGACTTCATCCAAGTTAAATATTTCTGTTCTATAAAACTGTTAAGAGAATGAAAAGACAAGTCACAGACTGGGATAAATTTTAAATCATATGTCTGCCAAAGGGCTGGTATCCAGAATACATTAAGAATTCTTAAAACTCAAGAAAACAAACAACCTCATTAAAAATGGGCAAAAAATTTGAACAGACAGTTCACCAGAGATGTGTAGGTGGTAAATTAGCACATGAAAAGACTACCAGCATCTTTAGTCTTCAGGGAAATGCAAATTAATTAAAACGTCAATGAAATACCACTATATACTCCCCAAGAATAGCTAAAAATAGAGAGACTGATAACACCAAATGCTGATAAAGACTTAGAGGAGCTGGAGCTTTCATACGCTGCAAGGGGAAATGTAAAATGGTACAAAAACTTTGGAAAACAGGTTATTTCTTAAAAAGTTAAACATTAACCACTATCTGATCTGTGCATTCCACTCCTGGGTAATTACCAAGGGAAATGAAAACATACATCCATACAAAAACTTGTACAGGAATGTTCATGACAACTTCATTTGTAGTAACTGAAAACTGGAAATAACCCAAATATCTGTCAGTAAGTAAGTGCTTAAACAAATTGTGGTTTATTCCTACAAATGGAATACTCCTTAGCAATGAAAAGGAATTTATGTAAGACAGGTGCAGTAGTGCACCAGTAGTCACAGTTGCTGAGGAGGGTGGGGTGGGGTGATTGCTTGAGCCCAGGAGTTTGAGGTCAGCCTGGGCAATGTAGCAAGACCTTATCTCTTTAATAAAAGGAATGGTTTGTTTGTACACTTGCAAATGGATGAATCTCAAAATAATTACACCGAGTGAAAGAAGCAAGAAAATATAGAATATATTCTGTATGATTCCAGTTCTGGAAAATGCCAACTAATCTACGTGACAAAAAGCAGAACATCAGTTGCCTGGGGATGGGGTTTGGGGGAGGCAGGAGAGGTTACAGAGGAACATAGGAAAACTTTGGAAGGTGATGAGTATGTTCATTTTCTTGATTGTGGCAGTGGTTTGACAGGTGTATACATATGTCAAAACTTACCAAGGTTCGAACATTTTCTTCCATGGAATTAAAAAACATAAAATTATATACTTTGTGGGAATTTTATTGTACGTCAATTGTACTTCAGTAAAACTGTTAAAAGTGTACCTTTTCCAGGACAGGCTAGGAAGTAAATGATTTCTCACTGTTTCAGTTTATTTAATACCAAAGCTATGTGAGCAGTACTTCTTTTTAAAATCAAGGTGAGTTAAAAATCACACCTCTTATCAAAAATAATAAATATGACTTTGTTTATTTTAAATTGATTTTTTGACAGTTTGAAAATGCCTCGGAATATAGGAAGCCTTGGTCATGGTCCTGAGTATTTGAGTCCAGTTCCAAGATTATACCTGTCATGGTGACAGGTGCTAAGGGATGGCCTTAGCCTGACAACATTAAGTGGTGGCTTCTCTGACTAATTCCCCTCTTTCTGATTCCACATAGACAAGCAATCTTTTAAAAATAATCTTCATTTCCACTCTATGTCTGAGTGTAGAGAGAAATACATTGCTTAAGATGGCAAGAATATTCTGAGCAAAGTAATGTTCACATTTATATTGCTTTTATTCCCTTTCTATCAATCAATTGGCATTCTGGTTTTAGAAAGAAAAAAAGCCTGATTCAGATTGTCTAAAACCTTAAAACTAAAGCAAATGGACTTTTCAAGAATTTAAATAGGATTCCTTTCCTTTAATCAGTTATCTACTTTGTTGTGGTGTCAACCTGTAATTTCATAGTTTTTTTGTGTGTGACAGAAATTTACAAACAATGTGATATCCTACACTACATTTTTCTTTCAAAATAATCATTCTCATTATCTTTCCTGGGATAAATCCTGTATGTATTATTTAGATAAATGTGTCGTTATCTGTCTCCAGTGTCTTAATTAGCTCAGGCTTTTTATCATCATTGAATTTTTCCATTTATTATTATGATCTTTCCTGAACTCTGCATACTTTCTGTATTTTTTTGTTTGAAATAATTCAAAATAATGTATTATCTAAGTTATCTGTTTACCATTTTTGTCTATAGGTAGCCTAGAATAAAAATGTTTTTCTATATATCAAATTTCAAAATATGCTGAGAACTTAGAATGAGAAGAATCTTAGAGTCCACCTTTTTCCTGGACATAAGAATCCCAGATAGTTGTGCCATTGTGGAAAGGATGGAACTTATATAAGGTATTTTCAAGGAAGCCATGTTCATTATTGGACAGCTTTAGTTGTATAGAGTTTTTCCCTCCCCTTAAAATAAACTGAAATTATTTTTCTCTCATTTCTGAATGTTCATTTTGGTCCTGTCCGCTCAAGAACATGGAATAATTCTATTATTTCTTTCCAGATATTAAGGATAGTTTTATCTAGAATAAATCTTTCTAGTTCTTTTATTCATTAGAAATCATTTCCAGATTTCTCATATACTGATTCTATTTTGGACAAATATTAAATTATCAATATTATAGATTGGAATGATTGCTTTTTAGCTTTTCTGTGAGCCTGTTTCTTACTTTTTAAATATATGTGCATGTGCTTTTCTTACTTACGTGTCTTATACTATCTTTTATTTTATTTTATTTTTTTATTGTTTTTTGAGACAGAGTCTTGCTCTGTCGCCAAGCTGGAATGCAGTGGTGTGATCTCGGCTCACTGCAACCTCTGCTTCCCAGGTTCAAGTCATTTTCCTGCCTCAGCCTCCCAAGTAGCTGGGACTACAGGCAAGCGCCACCACACCTGGCTAATTTTTTCTTTCCTGAATTTTTAATAGAGACAGGGTTTCACCATGTTGGTCAGGCTAGTTTCTAACTCCTGACCTCGTGGTCCACACACCTTGGCCTCCCAAAGTGCTGGGATTACAGCCATGAGCCACTGTGCCCAGCCTATTTTTTAAATTTTTTTTTAAATTTTGAGACGGAGTCTCTCTCTGTCACCAGGCCTAGGTGTAGTGGTGCGATCTTTGGCTCCCATATTAAATTGATTTTCCTGCCTCATTCTCCCCAGTAGCTGGGATTACAGGCACATGCCACCACGCCTAGCTAATTTTTCTATTTTTAGTAGAAATGGGGTTTCACCATGTTGGCCAGACTGGTCTCAAACTCCTGACCTTGTGATTCACCCACCTCAGCCTCCCAAAGTGCTGGGTTTACAGACGTGAGCCATTGCACCCAGTTTCCATTAGCTTTTATTGCATTTCTGTACAGAACACCTTTTAGGCCAGTGGCCACTGTCAGTTCCTTGCCATGTGGGCCTCTCTAACCTGACAACTTGCTTTGTCA